GGGGAGGGAGGGGTGAGCCCCGAAACTGCCTTAGAACACGGGGATTTCTGGGGTTCTTTTGAACGCAATAAAAATATTGTAAATTAAAAATCACTCCTTTTAGGCAGGTGCTTAATTGTGAGGGGGTGCGATTTGGGTAAGCGGCTCCGAGGCGCTGGGATGCCGTCGCCTGGATTGGGTGGATGCAGGGAATCGTGCCGGGGTTTTTGAGACCGTCCTCGCTTTTTCCCTAAGCCAGCGCAGTGTACACACACATATATATTTATATACACATTTATGTGTATCTCTATGTATAGATATACAAATATACTTACACACATATATATGGATGTAAATATATATACACACACTCACGGAGATATATATTTATATGTATTTTTATATATGTATACCTGGAGCCATAAACACCTGTGGCCCGGATTAGGACTTGTGGAGATCCCGGTCGCTGCAGTCCTGGGTGTTTTTAAGGTTTGGGTACCTTTGTTGGTTCTTCCCAACTGTTTTTAGCAGTGGATGTGGCTGGGGGAAAGGCAGCCGCGGTGCCAGGTTTGGGGGTCCCTGCTCTGCCCCCCCTGACCTGCCTTTTCAGTGCCAAGGTGATGCTGGGGAGGGGGGGTTTAGCTGCTTAGAAAAAGTAGGCTTAAAGGCGTAATTAATGTAGGGTGGGTTTTGGGGTTTTTTTCTTTTTTTTTTAAGGAAAGGAGGAAGAGGGAAGAGTGAAAAATAAAGTTAATCAGAACAAGATGCAAGCGAGGGCTGCGGTGTCCCCCCCCTTCCCTCGGAGCCAGGGGAGAGGAGCTCGGCGGCCAAGGGGGCGATGGGGAAATCGCTGGTAGGGGCAGGAGCCCGGATGGAGGGAGGATAAAATAGGATGGGGAGCACCAGAGCAGGAGCAGACGCTCCGGCTCTCCCAGCAAATGCTTTCATCCCAGCGGCGGGGGGGCGCAGGCAGCAGAAATTCAAAAGTGTGTGTGTGGGGAAAAAAAAAATACCATTTTTAAATAGCAAGGGATGCTTTTTCTTAAGTGTTGGGATGGCTCCTGCTGCGGCTGCGAGAGCCCCGCTTCCCACGGGGTCCCTCGTTCTTTTTGACGTAACCACGCGGTTTGGTTTTACTTTTTTTAACGCAGAAATACCTGAATATTTTATCCCTCGCCGTGTATTCCAGCATTTGGATAACATGCTGCTGCCGGAGCAGACCGGTTGACTTCGCTATTTCCACGAGGCTGTGGGTGCTATTTTTTTTTCCTCCTCTTTTTAATGGAGCACATGCTCTCCCTCTTCGCGGGACGGTACATCTCCATTTATTCTGCCTTCCTAGAGCAATTACCTGTGGGCTCCTACGCGCTCGGCCGGGCTGCAGACCCCTCTCCTGCCCCCGGCAGCAGCCCTTGGAAGCCCTGCCTAATAGCCCTGACTTAATTAGGCAGGGGTTTTAATTGCTTAGGAAATCCCAGCCCTTTTAATCTCGGTAATGAAGGCTGGGGCTTTGCATCACCTGGGCCGGGGAGCTCAAAGGCTTCTTTCCGCTTTCCCACCTTCCTAACAAGTGATTCCCAACACGGGGCAACAGCAATTGCCCGGGAAAAAGAAAAAAGCCAAAAAAAAAAAAAAAAGCCTGGGGGAAGGGAAGGGGTTTGAACGGGAAA